GCAAGGGGTGGTGAGTCGCGGAGAAGGGGCAGGGGAACGGCTTTCCCCAAAGCATCACATGAGCACGGGGCTGGGGAGCTGTCCCAGGGCTCCAAACGCTCCTCGTCCCACTGTCTGGTTCCTGTCCCCCTCTATATGGTGGTGGCAAAGACCCCTTGGTACCTCCAAAAAAACATGCACCAGCATTTCCCTGGTTGCAAACAAGCAGGCAGAAAGTCCAATCTTCCCTGCCCTGGACGACCTGGTACCCATCCCACGGGCCCTACCGCATCTTCCCCTCCAACTGCCAAGGGATGGGGTCCATCCCCATTGTGTCCCTATCACACAGTCCTCTCCCCTGGCAGGGACCTGCTCCCATCCCTGCTCCTCGCTCTCCATCCCAGGGAACCGAGGGATGCTCAGGGAAGCCAAGCTCACCGTACAAGTTCTGGACAGCCAAGATGTCATCCCAGCTGAGGACAAAATCCTTGCTGAGTTTCTTGTAGTAGGGGGACATCAGGGCACTCTTGACGGGGGAGTGCTCCAGCCCCAGCGTGTGGCCGACCTCGTGTGCCACCACGATGAAGAGGTTTCGCCCTTTGCCGCTGTGCAGGGACCAGCGCTCGGCGCTGTCGAAGTGGGCTTCTCCGCGCCGGGGGAAGAAGGCGTGGGCCAGGGCACCTCCTGGGGACACGAGAGCCATCAGGGACCATGGGGCAGGAGAAGACCTCAGCCACAAGCCAAGGGGCAGGGAGGGGGGAACACGCAGCTATGGTTTGCTTAAATATGCATCAATTTTTAGCTCTTTGGGAGGGCTCCTGAGAAAGCAGAGATGCTTCCCGTGACTATTTCCCACAGCAGGTGCAACCCAAACCAGTTCTGCCTTCTGCTCCTGGGCACAGCGGGCGTTTGTCCGCTCTGTGGTTTCTGCGTTTGTTTTCTTGCTGGTGACTGCTGGTCACCGCAGTGACCCATGCCAGGCAAAGGCTCAAGAAAAGAGAAAAACCTGGGCTTGTCTGATAGTGGATAAGTAGGAAGGCTCAGCTGGAAGGAACGAGCTCAGGTTTGGAGGATGCTATCAGGGTGGGGAGGGGTCCTCAAAGGCCATCAGCATGGTCCTGTAATGAGTACCTCAGCCACCTCGCTGGAAGACTTCAATTGCAGAGTTGGGAGTGAGGACCCCAAATCAGAAAGCAAACTGGTGCAAACTGGGTTAGAGGGACTGCTGGGGCAGAGCCTTGCCTCCATCACCCCCAGCCCTCCTCCCTGCCAGGGAAGAGCCCATGTTGTAAAAGAGAAGCTTACGAGGTGGAAGCAACCAGCACCTGGTCCATCGAAGGCGTTGTTGAGTCCATCGTTGTGGTCCCCGTGGAAGAAGGTCAGGCGGATGTCGGCCGGGCCATCCCGTGCCTCCCAAAACACCAGGGAGGACACGTTGCTCCAGAGCTGGAAGGCGGCTTTCACGGCCAGGCGCACCTCGTGCTGCGGCAGGTAGGAGGGCCAGTTCACCACCCGGT